GCTATTGTAAGGAGCTGTGTTGGCACAGACCAGCACATCTTTCCTTTTACGTTTGGGGTGGCTCTTCAAATCCCATCAGCTCCTGACCAGAGAACTCCCACACCAGCCCCATCCAGGAGCACCCACGGTGGCACTTCCAGCCTCCCAAACACTGCCCACTGCGGGCCAAACAAGCCCATCTGGAGAATTAGCAATAAGGGAAAGTTCTCTCCCCTCTGGGGCTGTCCCCATCATGGCCACACCATATCCCAGGCACAGTCATGGGATACACATATCCGGACATGAAATCATGTTTATGCAGGGGACTCATTTCCTCTGGGCTGTTTGGCCGCCGTGCTCACGGATGCGCGTGTGGAGGGCTCACCCTCTCCTCCTGTGGGTCTGCCCCACTCCCAGCACAGAAGGTTTGGGTTTTCTGAGTGGCCCACGTGAGAGAAGAAGTGCAGACCAAAGCTTCAGACTCACTGCAACCAGTGCTCTCAAAATACCCTGGTATCTGCTCTATTCCTCTCATTTTCCCCCAAATGACGAGTTGGTGACGGTCCAAAAAGTGAAATCAAAGAAGTGGCCTTGTCGTGCCAAAATGCAGCCAGGAAGGTCAGGGGCAGGTAGTATTTTTTTTCTGCCTTTTGGAAAACAGGGTGAGGGACCCTGGCTGAAATTCAAATGAACTTTCTTTTGGAAAGGATCTCCTCCGGGTGCAGGGAGTGATAACTTGGAGGATCTCCTCTCTCATGGCGTGTGTTAAATCCTTTTATCTCCGTGAAGGGGTCACTTTGTTTCCTGCAAAAAGACTTACTGTATCTTTTGTGAGTGATTTTCATGCTGAAGGGGCACTGAACATAATCCTGTCCTGTCTGGTTGTTCTTACCACCAGTCTGTGGTCACAGGGCTTTTCTCCTCCTTCAACCAGATCCTTTTTGATTCCTCTGTTGAGCGCATTTGTCAGGCAATACTGGCCACCAGCCCAGGCAAACAGGGGCTTGTTACCAGTTATTACCCCTGGGTCCACTGGCAAAATTTGGCACAGGTGGCCAGTGAAGGAGGAAAAGATAAAAACATCATTCTCTGGCATTTAAAGGGATACAGTACATGAAGGAAAACAGTGACTCCTGGGATTCTTGTGCTCTCACTGCTTGTTCTGTATTTGTTTCTGCTTTGTTTTTATGTTTGCAATCATTTTGCCTAAGCTAGGCCTTCTGCAGGTGGTGAACCTGCAAGACACCAAAACCATGCAATTTTTCTAAGTAAAATACATTTTTCTCCAGTGCTGCAGTGAGAGAGTCCCTGGGCAAACACCTAATGTTGAGCTCAGAGCAATAAAACTGCAGAAGGGTATTGAGCCCCGTGACTGCAGCAGCACTTGACTTCTTGAGCAGCAGTGAGAAAACAGATTAATCTAATGCAGATGCAGAGAAAAGGTAAATTTGGCTGAGAGAAAGGTGCCCAAAAACCTGCAGCACAGGTGTGGGGATGGATACAGGTGTTGGTCCTCCATGGGAGGAGGATTTTACCAACTCATAGCCACACTCTCGCCTTTGGCTTGTCGTGAGTCCAGGCCACAGTGCTGCACGTTTTCTTGGAGTGTCAAGTTTGCAACCTGCCTGGATTTCTTCTTCCTATGGCTGCTGTTCACCACAGCTGCTGCATTTCAGCCAGCAACAGTCATTCTTTAAAACAGTCTGCTTTGAGACAAGCAATCTGTGGAGGAAAAAAGGGGGAAAGGGAGAATTTGGTAGCAGCCCAGCTGAGCTGGGGTGGAGGTAATTAAAGAAACATCATCTTCAGATCAAGTTTGGTATGGGAGGTATTTTGCAAGGGGCTTTCCAGTGGTCCCATCCAGCCTGATAGAGCAGGAGCAGGTCTGTGTGGCCACTTACCAAAGAGATGCAGGTCATTACCCACCAGAGGAGAGTGATTTCTACCTCTGTGACACTAAGCATTGCCCAAGTTTAGCCAGGGCCATGTAGTAGGATGTATAGGATGTATAGTGTCCTACTTGCCCATGTGGTTGGCACCCATTGAGTCCATCCCTCAATCCCTCCATCCATCCCTCCATCCATCCATCCATCCATCCCCCTCCATGGCTGCTCACCGCTTCCAAGTAGGAGTGTGCTAACTCCTCAAGTTGCTTAAATCCCACTTAAATCACTGGTCCTGGCTTAACGAAGAAGAATAAATTGGTCTTTTAACATCTCTTGACCTTAGCAAAGAGGAAAACCAGGAGTGGATGCAGAAAGATAAAACACCAGTAAGTTTTGTGGGCATCAACTTGAGTCTTGGTTCTTCTCCCAGTTATTTTTTTGGTCAGTGTCACCCTGTGCACCTCAAAAGAAGCCCAGCTAGCACCACAGCCAGGGCAAGCTTGGAGGATCCCACCAGATTCCTGCATCCCTTGCTTTGGGCTTTTGCCTCCATTTCCAGTTTAAAGTGGTAAAAAACTATCTGCAGCTGCCCAGGTCGAGGCGGGGAAGTGCTGGGGCAGGGATCCTGTTTTCTTGGACCACAGGGTCCCAGCTGGCCACTGGGCCTGGCCCAGAGCCAAAGCACGGCCCCTTCTCTTGTGGACAGGGTTGAATGGAATTGTCTTTCTGACTTCTCTTTGGTGCCTGTGCTTTCTGCCTCTCTGGGATGGGACTGTGGCACAAAGAGGAAGCGAGAGCAGTGGGTGATTTCCACTTTGCTTCCAACCCTTTCTTTATTTACATCTCTTTTATGTATTGTTGCTACGTTTAGGGGATATTTTTGCTTTACCTCTTCTGTTGTCAACAAAGTTTTACACCCTATTTATGGGACAGACCCATTTTGTGGCTCACTGGATGCCTGGCCTCTCTCTAGTGATGGTGCAGCCATCATTGAGGATTCAGATTCAAGGCACACAGGTTGATAATAAAACTGAGGAGGTGGGTAGATCAAAACTCCCTCCTGTCTTTGGCACTTGGGGTTTATCTGTCAGATCCCTGTGACGGTGTTTTGCTTCCTTACCTTTCCTTCTCCTGCAGACAGCGGTCAGCCTATAGGAAATATGACTTATCTCCACAAAAGCTCTTTTCCTGCAGATATAATGGAAATGTTCTCTCACAAGCCAAGTGTTTCCTAAAATAATTCATGCTGCTAGTTTCAGTTAAATTCACATCTTAATGGTGTTTCCAGGAATGGGAATGGCTGCTCCCAGAGGCTGGTGGGGAAACAAGAGTAGGAACAGTATTTCAGGAGGAGGTCTGCACTTTTATGGAGTGACAGGACAAGGGGGGATGGCTTTAAAATGACAGAGTACAGGATTAGACAAGGTATTAAAAAGAAATTTTTCCCTGTGAGGGTGGTGAGGCCCTGGCACAGGTTGCCCAGAGAAACTCTGGCTGTCCCATCCCTGTAAGTGTTCAAGGCCAGGTTGGATGGGTCTTGGAGCAACCTGAGATAGTGGAAGGTGTCCTTGCCACAACAGGAGATTGAAACTGTATAATCTTTAAGGTCACTCTCAACCCAAACCATTCTATGATTCTCCTGAAATGGTCAGGCAGTTGTATTAGCAGATCATTACAGGTCCCTTCCAACTGAAATCTCCTCTCCGACCCTCTCCTCTCCTGTCCGACCCTCTCCAACCCTCTCCTCTCCGACCCTCTCCGACCCTCTCCTCTCCGACCCTCTCCAACCCTCTCCAACCCTCTCTGACCCTCTCCTCTCCAACCCTCTCCTCTCCATTCCACGGGACCTCAAATCTGTTGCAGCCTCCCTACCCCAAATCCCACTCCTCGAGTCCTTCTCAAGCATAACTCCACCACGCCAGGTCCTGACATGGTGGGGTTAAGTTTTCCCATCAGAAACTTGAGCTTTCATCAGGCCCTTGACACACAACCAGTGCTAATGGGCAGGTTCTGTGAGAGCAAATCCTTTGCTGTTGTGCCGGCACAGAGGAACGAAGCAGATCTCTGGAGAGCAGCATTAGGCTGCAAATCAGATCTTGGAAGTGTGTCTCCTGTTTGGGAGGGTTGGAAATAATGTACAGATGCTTCATGAAGGAAAAAAATAGCATTCTTCTGTACAGTCACCAAATGGAAGACACCCCCCCCCTCAAAATCAGGTTGTTGCCTTGACTCCGGACAGATCCATGGATAAAGTGGCTCAGTGCAGCCTGCGGTTCCTGAAAGGTGAAATATTGGTCAAACCTTTCCTGGGGTGAATTTGAGCAAGAGCCCAGAGCTGGTGGTTACCACGTGGAGAAATTACCTCTGCAGCAGTTGATGGAGCTCCTGCAGTGATTACAAGCAGAAAAATAGACCCAAGGTTTTATATTGGTCTAGTAGTGAAAGTACCACCTTTTAAAGCTGTGGGATGTTGCAGAGCTCTCTGCTGTCAGAGGGTTCTCTCTTGTCAGGAAAGCTGTCCTTCAGCTGAATCCCTCACTGAGAAACAGCTTCATCATCTAAGAACTTAAAGTTTTGTTCAGAAACCAACCACAGATCTCCTTATGTAGGATAATGGGAGGTGGTTGTTTGGACTCGATGATCTTGGAGGTCTTTTCCAACCTTAATGATTCTATGATTCTAAGTGTCACCTAATTTATCATCACCACTTCAGGGATGTGAGAGACCCTCATAACAGGGTTGGACAAACACACTCGGCACATCCCTTGCTGGCCCCTTGTAAGGGCTGGATCTGCTTCATTTTGGGAATCACTTGCAGGGTTTTGCATAGAAGGTGGTGGACCTGCCATGTGAGAGGGACCTGCCTTCAGGGAACCAGCAGGTCTTGTCCTCCTGCTCACACTTTGAAGTCCTGTGAGTTTGACTATGTTTGTCATGGAGGTTCCTCGGGTTTCCTCCTCACAGTGATACCAGAATGTGGAATTTGATATGAGTTCAGAGAGCACGAGGCAAGACCCGAGTGAATGACTCAGGGTTTGTGGGCAGCGTTTATTTCTACAAATACCTGTTCTGGGTGGAAACCAAGGGCAGCTTCCTTAGTTCACGGTTTATCTTGGCATTTTTACTTTTCCGCAGGTGCCAGCTGTGAGGATGATCCAGCTCCTGCAGGTCCAGACGGAAGTGACACCATCACCACGACCACAGGCACCAGCAAGGCACAAGTGACCACCCCTACAAGCAGTGCAGGAGACACACCACCCGAACCTAAGTCACCTACCACAGTTCAAATGACCACCACAACAGCCAAGCCAGAAACCCCTGCACCCTCTGTCACGTCACCCACCGCTGCTCAAGGCACCACCACTGCAAGCACTCTGAGAGCCACCCCATCCACCCCTGCATCATCACCTACCACAGCGCAAGGGGCCACCACCACCACCGCCAAACAGGGAAACCCAACACCCGCCCCCACCACATCGCCCCCCAGCTCCCAGCAGGCCGGCTCTGCAGCCAGTTCTGGAGCATCCACAGCCAGCCCTGCTGCAGCCCCCGCTGCTGCCGAGCAGCAGACCAGTCCTACAGTCAGTTCGGGAAGCTTGGGGACCACCACTACTGCAAACCCTGTCCTCACTCATGTGAGCAGCCCTCCAACCACCCAAGGAGGTTTAGGGGCTGCTGCCACATCCAGGTCGGATGCTCAGGGAGGCCAGCCTCCGGATCATTTGGCCAGTACCACTGAGAGCACTGGAGTCCTGAGCAGCAGCTCTGCCCTTGGCCCCAAGGACCGTGCCCCTTTTTCTACACATGTCACCAAGCAGCCTCATTCTTCTTCCAGTTCTCCAGCCCAGGACCTTGCCTCTTCCACCAGACCTGGAAGCACCAATCCTTCTGTTACCCCTTTAAGTGGATCTCTGCCCCGCCCCACCAGTAAAACATCTCCGACTTCACCACCTGGCAGCATCCACAAGAGCCCAGAGGCAGCCACCACACTGACTCCTGGAGCAGGTACCAGAAGATGAGAACCTTGATTTCTTGTGCTGGGAGGCCCTTCTGTGGTCTTTCCCTTTGTCTACCCTGAACACCTCCTGTCGTTACGGGGTGTCATCACCTCGTCTCATTTTAGGACTTCCCAGCCTAGTTGTCTCTGTGACATCCTTGCATTTAGGTCCCTGTTGCCGTCGGCGGAGGTCGAGTCAATGCAGTCAGTGAAACTCAAGGCAAGAATCAACTGGCAAAGCATTGACAGTGGCTTTTGGATGGACTAAACAGTGCCCAGGGCACCATCAACTGCAGTGACTCGATCTCCAGTGACAGCAGACGGGGGCCAGCAGCGATGGGTTCAGGGGCGGGGACCGACGCTGCAGAGCTGCTGAAACAGTCTGACAGCACCCGGAATGTTGAGTGTAGGAGATCCCTAGTACAGCTGACAGCTTAGTGAAGGCTGTCTGGGCATGCACAGCAAATGAGCTTTAGATGACTAAGGAGATTTTGTGGCTAAACTCTGAGTCTGCAACCTCTGAAAGAGTCTGAGCACTTGGGGAGGACATTCTTCACTGCTGCGGGAGGGGTTTGGCTGCTGGCTTCTGTCTAAGCAGCATTAGGAGTGTCCATGTGGTGTTCAGGATCTTGCTGAACACCATTAATATGTTTTATCTAGATCTCTGGAGCTTTACAGAGTCATGTTAGTTACAAATGCCCTGCTGAGGCACAGTTTAGTGTCCCCCTTGGCATTTTCTCTGGTAGCATTCCCAGGGAAGGAGTCACCCTGTGGGAGTGTGAGAGCTCCATGGAGCCTTCCAGACTTGGCTGGGATTGTGGGTTCAGCTCCCATTTGGCTCTGAATAAAAGCTATGATGACACTGAAGCCCTTCATCATTTTCCCCTGGAGAATGTCATTCTTGAACCAATTTCCAGTTACCTGGAATAAAGAAGCCACTGTAAAACCATCTCCATCCCCTTCAGCTGTTGGCATCACTGAATGGGCCAAGGTCTTAATGCAAGACCATCTTCACTGGATTTGCCTAAGTCATGTTTTGAGCATTTTAGCAGCCATAAGGAGGTGAAATGAGTATCACCATGAAGGATGTTTCATTCCCCTCCTGCTCCACAGGACTGCTCTTCATTAAAGGATGATATATGAAAACATGTTAATTCAAATTTGACCTCAAGCATTAAGCCTAAAGAGGTCTAAAAAACCCTTTATATTTAATAACTAGGTGAGGGAATGTAAGAGAAACAGATGGCTTTGGAATTAATTCTCTCCTGGAGCCTTCAGAATGTGTCTGGGAGAGAAATATCCCTCATCTTCTCTGTGGAAGAGGCAGGAGTCCCAAAAGCAAACAGGCTGTGAACATCCTGTGGCATTTTATTTCTCTTTGTCATCATCTAAGGCTCAATTAGGAATGCAGGGATGAAGATCCATGTCTTCAAAGGGAACTGGGGAGGCAGGAGGCTGCTATGCTCCTTACACTGCTCCCATTGCACACATAATTCTAAGATGCTCCAGACCTTTACAAAATCATCTGAGGTCCCTCAGATCTGAGACACCTGCATGAGGGTGGTAGACATGGGGCTCGTGCCTTTCTGGAGTAACAGGCAGGCAGGACACCCCAGGCTGTCTCACTTAGCACCAGGCACTACTTCTAAACATGTCTCCCTGGACTTCTTCCATGGAGGTGCAGCCAACAGAGGCTGTGGCACTTCATCCCCTCCTAATGGAGGTGGTTGGGAGATTTTGGGTAGCCAGGTCTGCCTCTGTTGAGGAAACCCTTCATGGAAGACACCCCAGGTCAAGTGAAATGAATGTCATCCCATACTTCTTTTCTAGGTGATTACCCAGCTACCCACACACAGCCATCACAGCCTTTGGGTTCAGCTCTCCAGAATGCTCTGATGGGTTTCAGCAGCAGAAAGTAAAATCAGGAATGATATTCTTTCCATATCGAAGTTAATCTAAAAAAAATATAAATAAATTAAAAGGAGCAACCCAAAGCCTCTCCAAGCTTTGACACAGTGATCCTCAAGGCAGGGCTAGAGCTGAAAGCTTATTTTCAGCTGATCCCTAACAGAGCTGTGTCAGCTGTATCCTCTGTACTGTAACAGTGTCTCCCTGCTTGTTTGTGTTTTTTGGTGCATGTAGAGGACTCAGACCAGAGAAGCCACGATGTTGGACCTACATCAGCCAAACCCACCAGTGCCTCCCGGGGCCCTGGCAGTGCCCAGCCATCCCCCCCAGCCCCAGGGGACCACACAGTGCCCAGCAGTCCTGGCCACCAGCACCCGAACACTTCTTTCCAAAATGAGGTAATGACACCTGTGGGAAGGTGGGCACTCTGGAGTACCTTTAAAGGTCATTTAGTCCCATCCCTTTCTGCTGTAGCTTTCCAGTGAAGAGACACAGAGGATGGAGGTGAAGGGGAGCATGTCCAGAGAAGGGAAAGGAGCTGGGGAAGGGTCTGGGGCACAAGTCTGATGAGGAGCAGCTGAGGGAGCTGGGGGGGCTCAGCCTGGAGAAAAGAAGGCTCAGGGGGCACCTTCTTGCTCTCTACAACTCCCTCACAGGAGGTTTTAGTGATGTGGGGGCTGGTCACTCCCTCCAGGTAATAAGTGACAGGATGAGAGGAAATGGCCTCAAGATGTGCAAGGGGAGGTTTAGATTGGATACTGGGTAAAAAAAAGTCTCTCTGAAAGGGTGGTCAGGCTTTGGAACACCCTGCCCAGGGCTGTGGTGGAGTCCCCATCCCTGGAGGGATTTAAAAGCCGTGTGGATGTGGCACTTGGGGACATGGTTTAGTGGTGGCCTTGGCAGTGCTGGGGGAATGGTTGGATTGGATGATCTTAGAAGGCTTTTCCAACCTAAATGATTCAATGATTCTGAGATTATGGTCTGGATGTTGAACAGGGAAAAAGTGAAATTTGGGAAGGAGGGAAGCGTTATGGAGAGCAGAAGCTGCCTTGGTGTGAACTTGGACTTGATGAGAGGGCAAATATCACAACTCAGCATAAACAGCACATGGATGATACCAGCAGAAAGTGGTTTGGGAACTTTGGGGGGTCTCAAAACACAATTCAGGATAACCAAAGTGCTGGGAAGGGGATCCTGTTTCTGGATGATCATCTTTTGTGGGGCTGGGCTGCATCACAGTCTGCTGGCATGGATCTTCCTACTTCCCATGAAATTCCTGCTTTACCCCATACTGCAAATCCTAGGCCTGGTCTGGGAAGGGCATTAGCAAACATTCCATGGACAATCCTGTCAGTCATCTGTGAAAACCCTTTCCACATATAAAGGGCTGAGTGAAGGGCTCCTGGGCCTGTCTCGTGTCCATAAAATGGAGCAGAGCTTTTGCTGGGACATCTCCTGGTTTGGAGCAGTTAAATCAGTGACCAACTGTCCTTCCAACCTTTCCCAGCTGTTGAGAGTTGCTTTTCTTCTGTCTTTCCAGGTCATCTGCAAAGATGCTAAAGGTGCACCTGTAGAGGTGCAAAACAACTGGCTCACCATGTATCTGAAAGAAGCCAAAACCTGTGTAAGTACCACCTTTTTGGACTTCCATGGAGGATTAGCAGCTGAGTTGTGAGGGGAGATCAGCTGCTGCTCTGAGCACGTGAGAAAATGCTCACAAATAAGAGTAATTTCATCAAAATAAGATGTGACCAATGTAAAATGGTGAATGCAAACCCACGCTCAGCAGTGTCAGCCAGCGGGGGATGTGGCAGGAGGAGAGGCTCATGTGGTTTTCCTCAAGCTGAAGGACCAGCTGAGGCCACAGAGGTCTTACAAAAAAGTTAAATGGGAAATTTTAAAGGCTAAATCTTTCCCTACGCAAATCCTGACAGAAGAACTTTTTGCCTTAACTGAGGGGCAGAAATTTTGTTCCAAAACGTAAGAAAGGAATGTGGTGCTGCTCCAGAGTTGTTGTGTAGTTGGTGAGACCTTGCAACCTCACACTGGGTTAGGGCAGCATCCAACTGCAGAGCAACTGGGAAGCACTGGAACCTGGAGTTTGGGACTCACTGTGCTCCTTGATGCTGTATCAGCTCTCACAGAACCCTAAAGTGAGAGCAAAAAACTCCATTTCATTTGTTTTGGACCCTGTACAAGACCAGGGAGTAGCAAAATGTAGTGCCAAGGCTGGGGACAGGCAAGCCCAACACAAGTCTGCACACCAAGACCCCTTTTGATGGGTCTGCTGGTGTTCCTGAGGGATATCCACCTTCAAAGTGGTTCTTGTGGAAACTATGAGTCTCCTGTACTAGGGAAGATGCAAAATACTGATAACTTCTAAATAGGATGAAGTTTTAGGCTGATGATAAAGAGGAAGAGACGCCACTTGGCTGGTGAGGTCCTGACAGGACACACCTGAGCTGTTGGGTGGGGCTCAGGGGTGGGTTTTGGCATTATAATGCCCTGATTTCTGACAGTCTAAGCATCAGGAAACTGGCATTTCAGGGATGTGGTCACAGGCTGTGCCATGGGCAGGGACACCTTCCACTAGCTTGGGTTGCTCCAAGCCCTGTCCAACTTGGGCTTGGACTCTTCCAGGGATGGGGCAGCCACAACTTCTCTGGGCAACCTGTGCCAGGGCCTCACCAACCTCACAGCCAAGAATTTCTTACTAACATCTAATCTAAATCTCTCCTCTTTTAATTTAAAACAATTCCCCCTTGTCCTATGACTCTCTTCACCAAGTGAAGCCACACTGTTCATAAAACCCCTTGAGACACAGGCTGAGACGAGCACAGTCATTCCTGCTGACCACAGCAGCTCTGGAAATTCCCTGTACCTTGGTGATGGCCCTGCCTGGCAGCCCTGGAGAGGGCTAGGACCTCCTGACAGCACCCACGGTGCTCCTGGAGGAGGGGAAGCACCTGCTTCTGCTGCCATCTCATGGTCATCACCTTCCTACTTGGGCTGCTGCTGGCTGAAAGTGCTCCTTGCCCACACACCCAGAGAAGTGATGGTGTTCTCAGTGTTGCTGTCAACGCTGAGGATGACTCCAAGGGGGGACCTTATTACCACGATGCCCCAGTTTCTCCTGGGACCACCCCTTTCCCCCTGCAGTGTCTGGACGTGGCTGCAGGTTTCATGCTGGGAAAGCTTCTTGCCAAATTTTATACTGAATATAGAAAAAAATATTTAAAGAGATTGACAAAACCCAGTTTTGGAGCCTGAGATCAGTTATGACCGTGCCGGTGTTTAATGCTTCCCTCTTCCTTGTGGGTACAGTTATGGAGCCGCTGTCCTTCCCATTTTGCTGGAGGTTTTTTGGAAGCACTGGTGAGTTAGGGAGTAGGCAAGCATCCCAGCTTGGCCTCATCCATCACTCCTCTGTGCCCACTCCATCGGGCAATGGAGTGTTGGAGCTGGTGAGCAGCGAGTCCGTCGTCCCGTTTCCCTTTGATTCCTCTGGGCTTAATAATGAGCCGAATCACTGTTAGTACAAAATGCCAATTATGCCTCAAAACAGCCACAGAAAGGCTCCAAGGGTGCATCCTCCCACAGCAGCACCCTCCTGGGCTGCCAAAACAACTCCCATCAACCTTCCACTCGATGGATTCCTGAAAACTGCGACCGGTTTTGTGCCTCCTCAGCGGAGCAGATAACAGAGAAATGGCACTATGCAGCTTCCCTGCTTTGTAGGCCCTGGTAAACATGTCCCCAGCCAAATCCTGACAGCAAAGTGAAAAAATCCTTTGCGTTTCACAGCCCGTGGGAAAACAGGAAAGTGTGTGCTATAAGGAGAAGTGGCTCCAGAAACAGTTCCAATCCTGAGCCAGAGTTGGGGCGGCGTTGTGCTGAAAATTCAGATCCAGCAAGAAGCCAGGGGAGCATCGAGGGCAATATGGGGGACCAGTGGTGGGGGACGTGTCCAGATCACACGTGGCAAGGGAGAAGGCACTGTGCAGCCACTCACCCCAGGGCTGGGCTCGTGGGGCAGCAACATTGATGCAAAGACCCCAACAAACAGTTGGGACTGAACCCAGGAATTGTGGACGTTTCGCCCCATCCCACCTCAGTTTCTCCAGTAAATTTAAAAATAAAAAGGAACTCAAACTATAAATAATAAACAAAAGCCAAATATACAGTTGGTACCACTTTGTGGATCAAATATACTTTATGGGCTGGTTGGTTCCCTGCATCCTTCCTCTTCAGGTGATGCTTTGAACCAGCCCTGAACAGTTTGGTCCATGTATCCCCCACCCTCTCCTTCTCCTTCCTTTAATTAGAGCAGGATCTTAATGGGGTTTTTAATAAGGCTTATTAGCTTGATGCTTCACATTCCACAGGATGCCTTTTCCCAAGGACTGGCTGTCAAGTATTTTCAGTTGGGTTTTTCTTGGCTGCTTGAGTAACTCCCTCCTTGGAAGAGATGGATGTACGGATGGGTGGATGTACAGATGGGTGTTCTGCTCCTCATCCCAGCCCCAAAATGAGTCAGGTGAAGCAAGAGGTGATGATGTCAGAGGTGGCTGGTGCAGCCCGAGCTATGGTTGTGCCACATGACCCTGTGGCCTCTTCCCAGGGAGTCACTGGTCCTCCTCCATCGTGTCCCCCACCGGGTTGTGGATGTGCCCAGGGAGCTGAGTCGGTGGATGCTTGGGAGAACCTGCTGCAGTGGGGGTTGCAAAAGCAACAGCAGGAGCACCTGACCTTTACTGAAGGAATTTCTGTGTGACACCCACCAGTCTGGGCACAGCAGGACATTGCCCGGAGCAGGTGGAGGGACCCCCTGACCGAGGAGGGTCGTGGTCCCCCTCGCCCTGTCCAGCTGGCGGGGCTGGTTTGTTGACTCAAGTGCTGTTACCTCATTCGGGGATGTTGGTTTTAGGTCCCCGCCAGTGTGGGAACCGGATCCGAGCTGCTCGGCAGCGCCTCTCAACTCCGGCCAAGGAATGCGAGCGGGGAGGGGAGAGCTGCCAGGGCATCCCTGCCGGCTCAGCGGCCTTACCCTGCCCTTCTCCAAGCCTGGAAAGGGGTCAGTCCCTCCAGTTCAGCCTCGGAAGGGGTTTGGGCGCTGCTCACCAGCCGGCAGTGAAGTGGGTTTGGTGCTCAGTTGCGTTTTAGCCTCGCATCCAATTTCCTTTCCCACCCAAGAAAAAAACATTTTAAAAGCTTTTTTTTTTTCCCCACAGAGTGGTAGGGAGAGAAGCGGGTTATTAAGGGCTGGGGGAACGCAGAGCTGCGGGGGAAGGAGGATGCAGGGAGGCAGCAGAGGCTTTCCCTGCCTCTGCCGAGCAGAAAGCGCTGCACAGCCAGGGATTGATAAACCTCAGGACATTCCAGGCGTAGGAGCAACACCCAGCGTCCAGACATGATAAAACCACCGCCACGACCAAGCCACAGCCCCCTCCTCCCTGTCCTGTTGGGAACCAGCTTTCTAGGGAATGCCACCTCGTCTTGCTGCCCCGGGGGCAGGTTTCCCATGCAGCTCTTTTCCCAGGAGCGCACCCGGGATGGTACAACTCCCGAGAGGCCCGAGGGAGGTTTCTCCCGGTGCGAAGTGAAAGGACAGGCGAGGTTCCCGGGGACAGCGAGTGCTGAGCTCACCCTCGCACTGTACCCGGGGCCGGCCTTCCGCCCCGGCAAGTGCATCCTGTCTCCACTGACTGCTTCCCAAATATTTAGATAAGATGGGGTGAGATTAGGTGCCTTCCTCGGCCGGGCAGCTCCCATCCTTGTGGTGCAGCAGGCGGGATGCTGCCGGCCGCCGGTGGTGTTGGAGAGGGAGGGGAAGGTTTGGGGGGAATGGAGCTGGCAGGAGCAGAGCCTTTCCCGTCCAGCCACCTCGTTTCAGCATGGATTGAGGAGTTTTACACACAGGACTCTGCAGGCAAGACCCTGTGCACGAGCACCTGTGCACAAAGGAGCTGTATATGCAGCATGTTCCATATAGGACCTGTGGAGGCCAGGTCTGTGCATGGAATCATAGAATCATTAAGGCTGGAAAAGCCCTCCAAGACCACTGAGTCCAACCACTAACCCAGCACTGTCAAATCCACCACTAAACCATGTCCTTTAGTGCCACATCCATGCTTTGGGATCTGTGCATGCAGGAGGGTGATGGTCTCTAGTGAGCTCCCAGCTGCTACAAAGCGCTGAGCAGATACAGAAAGCCTCAGGAATATCTTAGAGGGACCATGGGCTCCACCTACCCCTTTACCACTCCTCCAGTGCTGACCAGGCTACTCCCCCCAGGGACACTCCTGCTTGCCCAGAGAAGCTGTGGATGCTCCATCCCTGGAAGTGTTCAATGCCTGTTTGGATGGGACTTGGAGACACTTGGTCTAGCAAAAAATGACCCTGCCCATGGCAAGGGCATGGAACTAAATGATTTTTTTAAAGTCCCTTCCAACCCAAACCATTCAGTGATCCATTTTATAATTCTATCCAAAAGCAAAACACTGTCTCTTGCTCTTCCCCATGGGGAAGTCAGGAAGCTCTAAGGACAGGGACCCGTGTTGGTGAGGACAGATGGTAGAAATGCGGGTGGCAGAAAGGCTGAAGATGCCTGTGGGGGAACAGTGGGGCTGCACAGCCCTGCCCTGCTGCCACTGTGGCCCCTCAGCCTCCCCAGCCCCCCCGCCCTGCTTCCCTCAGGGACCTGCTATTCCTGTAACACCGAAGGCTGCGGCTCACAGATAAGGCTGGTGCAGGGCCCCGGTGAGGAACTGCGGCCAAGAGCTCGGCTTCTTGTAAAGAAACTACTTTTAAACTTTTCCTGTTCCCTGGGAGGGCCGGCAGCAGCCAGGCAGTGCAAAGGGATGAGGGAAGATCACAGAATCACAGAGGGAATTTGGTTGGAAAAGACCCCTGAGGTAACTGAGTCCAACCTGTGACCGAACACCGCCGTGTCGACTAGACCATGGCACCGAGTGCCACGTCCAGTCTTCCCTTGGAGGGGTCATTCTTAGAAGATGGGACATTTCCCATCGCTGTTGAAGGGGTGAGGTGTTCCTGGGCAGTCCCTGGGTGGGGGGACAGGGCTGACCCTCGCTGTCCCCACAGGCTGAGTGGAGGACGGCGAGCGCCAACATCTCCTTCTTCGAGAGCTTGTGCTCGACGGGCCGGCACACGTTCGACGCCAGCAGGGAGAGCTGCACGGTGACACTGCTGTCCCACGAGCCACAGTCCCAGCGCTGGGACGTGCAGGTGGTCCTGCACCGTGAGTATGACCCCGCCCTCCTGCCCGGAGTGGGACAGGATGGGACTGGCACTGGGGACCCTGGCACGGGGATGCAGGTGGAGGCTTGGCAGAACCCTCAGGTCTGGTGGGGCTTGGCCAAGGGGCTCTGTTCTTTGGGCTGCCCCATCCCATTGGCTCAGAAGACTCCAGAAATGAGCTTTTCTCTCCAAGGAAAGCACCGGATCCCTCTCCCATCCACGATGCCTAAAGGCAGGAAACCAGTCCCCAGGATGAAAAATTCCTCCCAAGTGGTTAAAATCCAGTGCCCAGTTCAAATCCTTCCCTAAGGGACCACAGAGGGGAGTTTCTTGCCCATGTCACAGCCCTTTGGGGAAATCCATCTCAGCCCTGGGATGCCCAAATGTTGCTTTAGGACCAGGGTGCCAGGCAGAAGGAGACATCCTGCTGCTGTAACATGAAGGCAAGGAAGGCCTGAGCTCCATCTCCCCCTTCCTCATCATCAGGGCAACCTAACCATGCATTAGGTGGGGAGTCCAGCCTCCGGCATCTGACCTAAGGCAAGGCAGCCAGGCACTGGGGACTAATCCTACACCACTCTGGCATGGCCTGAAGGAGCTGGTAACAGCCCCTCGTTGGCCTCGCTCATAAATCATCCACTGGAGATGCCCCCAACCCCCTGGGGCTGGGGGATGGTGGGGACTGAGGGTTGTCCCCCTTCCAAGAGATCCTGGCTCCTTGTCTGGCTGTGAAGCACCTAAAAGGGTTGGCTTCATGCCCACACATCTCCAGAAAGAGGATCACCCCACAGACCAGAGGATGGTGGCACGACCTTGTCCCCCCCCGCCTTGTGCTCATTGCAGCCTCTTTCTTCCCCCAGTCCCTTTGCACCCTGAAAACATCCTCGAGGAGCTGGAGAGGAAGGACAAGTTAGAGCAGGTAAGTGGGTCCCTGCTCACAGCACAGCTTCCCCAGGGCAGACGTGCCCTGAGGTGCATCTGGGTGGGTGGCTCCGGGGCCTGACCTGTCCCTTGTGTGGCAGTTGGGCATCAGCATCGCCAACGTCACCAACGACAAAATGGAGAGGGAGGCGATAATCGACGAGTTCAGCACCCCCCTGATCATCACCATCGTCACCCTGGCCGGCTCCCTGCTGCTCATCGCCGCCATCTACGGCTGCTGCCACCAGCGCTTCTCCCAGAAGAAGGACCAGGTGAGGAGGCAGGGGGTGGGACGGGTATCCCGAGACCTTTTCATCCCCCTCGGGAGATGGAGGATCACCGGGGTTGCCGTCTCTGCTGGTGGAGACATCCTGGCTTGCCCAGTGGGCACCACCCTCGCTCAAGGGTTGCCCAAGTGCTGTGGGTGCTCCTGAGGGGCAAGAGCTGCTTCTTTGGTGGGGAAAGCAGCCAGGATGAAAAGCAGGAATAGGAGAGGCCGGGCACTCATCCCTGCTGCCACCCAGGGCACAGCACAGCTGGGCAGCACCCTTGGGTCATAATTTTGACAAGAAAGGCTTTCTCAACGCAAAACCCCCCTCCAAAACCACCTATACGCCCCCCCCAAAAAAAATTCTTGAAATACTTTTATGAGTAGTGGGTGCCCAGAATCACCTCGATGCCTTCCCAGGGATGCCAGGGAGCCCGAGGCTGTGTGCAGGGGGGGAGGGAGGAAGGAGAACATCCACAGGAGGGCATCGACCCTGCACAGCTCAGCCTTTGTAAGAGCTGGGCCAGGGCCAAACCTCAGAGCAGCAGCAGCAGGATTTAAGGAAGAACAGGACATGGAAAACGAAAATAATGTAATTTTTATCTCAGGAAGCAATTTTGGGTGATTTTAGTGCAGCATCCACCTGCAAGGACTGGCCATTCCCACACCCTGTGGCACCGGCACCAGGGTTTTCATTGTTCCCAGCTGCTCTTGCTGAGGATTCAGCTCCAGAACAGAGAGAAACAGAAAGGGAGGGAAAAAAAAAAAAAGGATAAAATCAAATTATGTAATCAGGGAATGAAGAAGCAAACCCCTGCATCCTACTTCAAGTCATTTCCCCCAAAACCAGTTCATCCTTCCCCGGGGATCCCAATCTTTGCCCCACAGGGATAAGGCAGCCTTTGCTTTAGATACTTGCAGTGTAAAGGAGGTGAACATAGGAGGCAGGAAAGAGCAAACCAACACCAGCATCAGAATTGCCTGTATTTACAAGGCTTGATTTTTTGGGAAAAAAATGGGGGAGGATGCAGGACCTCAACAGATGCTTGACCTGCAGTGTGGTCCCCTTGGGGTTTCATCATCCCTTGGATGAAATCTCCCTGACTGGGATGAAAAATATCCCAGCAGAGACAGGGAGCAGTATAACAACTCTTGCCCCATATTGCTCAAAAAACAGGTAGAAAGAGGGTATTTTTAGCGATGGGAATGTGTGTCCCTCAAATATCCTGGTGCAGAGGAACAGGTACCAGTCCCAGTTGGATGTTCCGGAGGTAAATTCCCACCAGGCACCGGGTAAAGCAGCGCCACCAAAGCAAGGGATGCGAGTTCCAAAAATCAAACACATTTCTCCTTCCTGGCTTTGTTTTTGGGTGGTTTATTTTGTTTTCCTCCTGCTTCGTTTCCAAAAATGATTTGAAAGTTTTTTTTTTTTTATTTTACTTTTTTTTTTTTCTCCAACCGTCCCTCCCCTCCCCTCCCTCCCTTCCCCCCTCCGTTGTTTTCCATTGGAAATACCCAGCACATCCACCCTGATCTCCCCGGGTTTGATGATGGACATGTGGCCCTGATCTTTAATGTGAGTTCCAACACAGGGGTCGGAGGGGCGGGAGCTGCACCCATAACACCCCCAGCTCTCACCTCCGGCGCTTGGTAGGGTCCAGTAGCTTTTAACAGGACTAAAGCCTACTAAAGCCCAGCTTAAAATCCCCCTTCCCCTTGCTGCATGGCCAGGGGGTGCCTTGCCACGGCGGGAGAAAGCGCTGCCCGAGCATCCATCCATCATTTTGGGGGTCGGACCAGCAATCCCACAGGGAAGCAGCCCCTGGGAGAGCCCAGGTGTGTTCTCTGCTTTCCACCCCACCGTCCCTGCCCACATCTCCCCTGCTGTGAGCGACCCAGGGGACCCCCAGCAGTGCCTCTGCAGCCCCTCTGCCAGCACCAAGCCCTGCAGTTTTCCTTCATCATCCCTTTCCTTCTCCATGGATTCCCTCCCACGCCTGTCTCCTGACATTTACTAGGAGCACTGTAATAGATCAAGCTGTAAATCGAGGCAGATTTTAACAGGGGTGCCCACTGAGAGCTTTACATTCCCCAGAAAGGGCTCACCAAGGATTGCAGTTCCCCACTGAATCCTTCCAGGGAAGGATGGGGATGAAGGACCCACTAAGAGCCCTGCTGTCCCAAAAACGGCTGACCAAGGACTGCAGTTCCCCACTGAATCCCTCTAGGGAAGGACAAGGATGAAGGAGCCCAAGTGGATGCAAAATTAGGATAGGCTGGGGGTCTGCCAGGGGATGAAGGGCTGAGTTGGAGCCTGAAGCACATCAAAGGACCAGGGTGATCAAGTGCTTGATTCCATCATTCCCTGCTTGGTTTCCACTGAGCTCCAGGATAAGGAGGGATGATGCTTATGGAGGGGCAAGAGCCAGCAGCTTCTGCAAGGTGGGAGCTGCCCCTGGGTCAAGGAGGAGAATAATAATAAAATAGCTAAAAAGGGACAGGGTGGGAGAAAGGGGAGGGGAAGAGCGGAGTTGAGTTAGGCAGGTAGGAGTTGGGATGCAGGGTTGGGGCAAGGCAGCAACACTCAACCTCTTTCCAAGGTCCTGAGTGGACCAAGCTGAAGCTGGCAGCTGCTCCTGGAGGTTTTCCACATGTCTCTGGCTGCTCTTTCCTCCCTCCCATCATTAGCAGAGTCTCTCTCTTGCCAGCTCCATGCTATCCCCTCGCTGCCCCCCAGCCTCAACCTCACTGTGAAAGTCCCTATATGTAGTTATATAAATCTATGGGGCAGCTGTCACAGCTGCCTGGGGGGTGACAGCCCCAAGGTGACACTCACAGTGTGGCCAAGATGTTTTCCAGTGGGGTTTATGGGTTTTCTTTTCTCGTAGCAGCGCCTGACCGAGGAGCTGCAGACCATGGAGAACGGCTACCATGACAACCCCACGCTGGAGGTGATGGAGACCTCCTCCGAAATGCAGGAGAAGAAGGTGAACCTCAACGGTGAGCTGGGGGACAGCTGGATCGTTCCTCTCGACACCCTCATGAAGGAGGACCTGGAGGAAGAGGAGGACACGCATTTATAGGGTGCAGAACACGATCAAGCAAAAAAACGACCACCACTCCCCCCAAAAATCCCCTTAATCCTTCTACACACGCACACACAGCTCCAAAATAAGGCAAAATCCCCCCCCCAAAAAAAACCAGAAAATTCCTTAATGAACTAATCATGGCCCCTTGTGCCACCACGTGGGTTGCAGGACGGAAGAGGAAGGGGCATAAGACACCTCTGGGGCACATCGAGTCAAGACACTTTGGTGGCCACATCAAGACAAGCATCCTCCACCCCCCACCCACCTACCACACCAGAACTGAACAGCCATGGGCAAACAGGGTGGCTTTGCTCCTGAAGAGCTGTTGGTGTCTCCTCCCATCCCACATCCAACCACGCCAACCGCATCCTCCAGCTACCGAGTGACTCAAAACTGAAGAGAAATAAAGCAAGTAGGATGGGAGAGGGAGCAAATCCAACAGCAAACCAGCAGCTGGCAACTACAGCTCAAAAACCCCTCTGTTTAGTCATCACTCTGCCCTCCCCAGCACCCAGGTATGGAGTGGAAAAAGCTGGAAAAGCCTGTTCTTTTTGAATCCAGTTTCCATCCTTTCCCCAGAAATCGCCGGCTAAAACGCACAAGAGCCCCTCGCTGTGCCGTGGGCAGGTGGATGCATCTGGACCCAGCAGGATGGGAGGGATGCAGCAGTGCCAAGTGATGCTCAGCCCTGTCACCCAGGGCTGTGGAACAGATCCTACACCCACGTGGAAACCAAGAGAGGTGCAGCAGCTTCTTGTATTGATGGGATGAGATAGGGGAGGAGAGGAAAAGGAGTAATTCCTTGAGTTCGTCCCTCTTGGGAAGGGTGTGGAGATCAAGAGCGATGCCAGGCATGTTGGGGGTTTCGTGGTGCGGGAGACCATCTCTGGTGCTGCATTTCCCTACACAATGATCAGTCACCTTCCAGGAATTATGCAGCAGCACCTCACGGCCTTCATCCATCCTGCAGGAGACTGTGGGTGATGTGCCCCACCATGGTTTGTGATTTTTGTGCTCATGTTTTTCTGCCTGAGCAGCAGAAGAGGTAAAGGAGCAGCAGAAACACGAGCCAGGCAGCCTGGCGGCATTCAAGGTTTTCCACCTGTACAGCCCTTGGTGTTTCCTCCCCTTGAGGTTTGTAAGTTCAGCCCAAGCTCTGAAGCTCTTCCTCACAAGCCAGTAAACTAACAGAGACCTGCAAAGCAACTTCCAGCACAGCAGCAAGGCTGGGACTGAGGTTTGTCCTGCAGCCCTTGGTTTGTCATCTCTGCTGAAGTCTACAGAGGGGAAAAGAAACCCATGGCTGGACTGAGGCTGTTTCTGGTTTTCTGTTCCCCATCACAGCTCCTGAGTGGCTCTAAAAGGATGGGGAGAGTTTCACACCTTTGCACTGGTGCCAGTGAAGCAGCTCAGCACTGGCAGAGTCAGGGACCCATCCTCCAGCACACGGGAAAGAGAGGAGAGGACCAGAAGGTCACCTAGGTGAGCACACCTCCCACTAGGAGGATGGTGGTTGTCCCAAGCCCCCTGCAAACCAGAGGAGCTGCAGAGAAGAGCAGTGTCCAAGCACTGCTCTCCCTCTCCCATTTGCCATCAACTGTGCACTCATCATGTGCACAACAGGGAGATTTCCTTCAGGCTCTGCTACCAAGTCAACACAATTGGGATCCGCTCCCACGGCTGCCCTGAATGAGGGGAAAAGCACAGCCAAGCAATGGAAAGCTTGGAGAAATCAGGTTGAGTTGGTCCTTGGGAGTACTCAGGAAGCAGAGGGTCGGGGTGGTTCTCTCAGCCCCAGGACAGGCAGAAGATACAAGAGGCTCTTCCCCCTTCTCCCCTGCACCGAAGGGCAGAGTCTGAAGTGTTCAAAACCTTTCTATTTTTGTATGTAAATATTCCTGCTATTCATTAGCGATGTATCCTGCACACCTCACTTACCCGTGCACTGCACTATGGGGAAGTCATTTTGGAGGGGAGGGGAAATAAAAGCTAAAATAAATACCAAAAAAAAAAAAAAAAAAAAAAAAAAAAAAAAGAAAGGAAAAGCTAAAGGCCAGCCTGGTAGGGCATCAGAATTTGACAGGAAGCAGGAAAACACCTCTCGCCCAGGTAACCCTGCGCCACAGCTTTGTCCCTGCTCTGGCAGCATAAAGCTCAGCTCAGTAACGTGGCCACAAGGCTCAGAGAACCGGTCTGGGTATCCACAACAGCTTCCACGAGTGTCTTGGCTTCCCAGTTGCCCTGAGAGACGAGCAGCAGGTCGGTGACCTCACCTTTCTGTCCCTCCCAGACAACAAACAGCAAAAACACGGGGCAGCAGCAACGCTGTGGTCGCAGGGGGCTGGTGTTCCATGAGGACACCCCTGGCAGGGCATCTCCAGGCAGTCGGGCTTTGGCATGTGCCTAAAGATTCCCCCTTCCCAGCAAAGAGATGCCGAAGTGCTTTAATGAATCAGGTCCAAAGACTTTCCAGGAGAACCCTACAAAGGCTTGAGATCAAACAACCTTAAATCTTTCCGAGCAGAGACCAGTGAACTGCTCAGCAAGTGCTTATAGTGATTTATATTTGAATAGGAATTGTACATTTATTTATTTTTCCAGACACCATATTTTTAAACCACTAATATTTTATAGTAGATTTTCCTTCCCCTATTTAAAGAACTATTTCCACAGGAAAAGAAAACAGTACTTTTTTTTTTTTTTATGTTGAGAACATTCTTCTTGGAAAAAAAAAAAAAAAAATCAGGTAGGAAATGCAGCAATGAGCATCTTTGGCCTTAACCCTTCCCTTCATAGCTGTAGCCATAATTGTTAGACCAAAAATAATAAACAAAGGCATTTCCTCCCTCCCTGCCCCTCCTCCCTTCCCCACGCTCCTCTTCTCTCCCCCAGAACAGCTTTAACATCCGACACGTTGTACAAAGAGATTATTGCTCTTACCTTTGGGAGAGAGTTTTACAAGCAGCTCAGAGGTCCTTGCAAGAGACTTTTCTATTTTCAGATTCACAAGGAACGTGTAAATACTTTAGGACCATTTTATCTCCCGCTCTCAGTGCCATGACCCAACTGATGAGGTTGAAACTGTGACTGTTGCCTACAGAAGACACACAGAAGTCATAATTCATAAGGGACTGGAGAAGGAAAATCTAATTCCCAAGGTGGCTACCTGTTGAACCTTGCACATATACTAGAGCTCTTATGTACTGTGTAGCAGCATCTCTCACGGGGACAGGAGTCTGATTTACACTGGAATTTACTGAGGAACTGGATTGTAGAGATTATTCTTGCATTTTCCTACAAATATATTTTGAAAGCATCATGTATTTCTGTCAATAAACATTCTTAAGTAAAAGACTCGTTTCTTGGCTGAGTGAGAAGGGGGTGGGCAGGGCTTGTGCTCCAGAGCCACAACCTTCTGCTCTGCAGATGTTACATGGGAAGACACTGAACCAGCAGGAGCAAAACCAACCCAGACCTTCCTGGTAGTCAACCATGGAAAAACTGGTATTTTTCCCATGCAGGAGGAAGTATGATAGCGGTGGAAAACTTATCTTAATTTATAAAACAGATGACTCAGATGGGTGGGATGCTGGGTTGATGCGGGTAAGGGCAGCCCCACCACGGCCAGAGCACTTGTTTGAGCTGTGGGTGCCTTCAGGCTCACGGAGGGAAGGGAGAGGAAGCTCATCCTTATTTCTGCATTTCATCCCAACGCACTCCTGGTCTGCAGCCTCTCCTCGCTCTCAGGTCAGGCTGTGGAGGAGGGAATCAAACCTCACATCCGTAAGCAGGGAATGGCATCACTCGAGGGCAGCAGCAGCGTGGGCAGTTCATCTCTATTTGCCTCCAAGTGCCCAAAATAAAACATTTTGTTCCAGGTTAAGTCTCAGCTCATGTAAAGAAGAAAAAAGCAAAAAGGACTTTGGTTTAAGTCAAGTATTAAAAATCAGTGGTTTGCAGCAGCCTATATTCTAACTCTGTGTTCCTCCTCAATAAAAGTTGTTGTAAATGTTAGGAACACACTGGATTTATGGGATACCGACTCTGCTCACCAGTGATGTCAGGGAACAAGGCCAGACGTAATGCACCACTGGTTTCACAATTTCTCCACCACTACAGCACCTTCACAGACATTTTTCCGTTCTCAGAAGCGATATGTGAACAAACAGACCTTAAATAAACACCCTTGCTGGCATATACATTTTTATTAAGAAAAAAATGAACAAAATACATTCTCTCCTTATGTACATTACATACAACATAACTACATTGGTAGATATTCCTCGTGTCACTCATTCATTTATGTACAGCATGGGGCTCACACACCAACCCAGAAATCATCAAAGATGATTTATGCCAAGGAAGAAAATTAACACTCTGAGCTGAACAAAGATCATCCGTAAAGAAAAGGGCGGGATGGGGAATCACCAGAGTCCAGGAATGATTCCTGTAATCACCATGGGCTCAACACAGGACTAGTCAATATTTAACTTGCCTATTGAAACACATGAGCAGTTCACAGTGTTCATCACCCCACGGATGCTCCTTCCCAGCCCAGGGCTGTCCACACCCCTCAGCTCAGCTCTCCTGTGCTCAGGTGTCTGAGACAACAACTGCAGGACAGACACCAACGGGAATTCAGACGGACACCAGAGGCTGCAGGATTGCTGTAGAGAGGCAAAGGCTTCAAGCTGGCTGCCAAAACAGAACAAGAAGGGCCAAACTGTGGACAGGGGGTGGACACTCACGCTTCCAGAACTACGTAGGCATAACCAGCTTTCGGGGACCACACACAGGATTAGAGGACGAGCTAATGAACACTGAAGGTCCAGACAAACAAACCACCACACAGTACATTGCTACCATCAGAGTAGAAGCAACAGCTCGACAAACAGCCAAAAGACCCATCCCAGCCAGGTAATGGTGCCCAGCCAGCTCACTGCTGTTTGATCCCAAGCTTTCCAGATCCTGTCTGTGCTATCAACTCACCCAAGAGGGATGATGGCAACAGTTCCAAAGGGAGAAGGTTTAACAAAGCTCAGTACTCCAAAATGAGACACGGTGCGTCTCAGCATCTGAATACACCAGATGCACACCACCACCAGCCCCACAAGGACGGGAATGTCATCTGTAATTAACAGGGAATGAGCCCACAGACTTTGATTCTCTGCCCCCTCAGCAAAGTGGTCTGTGCAGTTTGAGGCCTCCAAGACCCAAGACTCCCATAAACACATTTGTTTGTATAATTAAGCTCGTTTCTCTGGCTTATGGTCTCCCCACCATCCCCTCATTTCCTGCTGTGGAGGAGGGTGTGCTGGAAGAGAGCAGAAAATACAGCTCTGGTAAATAGTAACAGCTACTAATAACAAGGGGCTTGTTTTCTTTTCCAAGATCCAGCACAGCAGCTTCTGAAGTGAAAAGTGTTTCACACATCTAAACATCAACGGGAGGGAGGGGAGGAGGGATAGGAATGATGAGGGAGAGATGAAGGCAATATTCCCTCACCACTGCAAGTTTGCATTCCCGGGGACCACAGCAGACAAGAGAGGAAACCAAGTCAGCAACACAATAGTTTTCCATTTTCCCCCTAAGAGACGAAATTTTTGTCAAAACCTCAAAAAAAAAAATTAATTATCACCAACCCAAAAAACTTTTCAGCCTCTAAGTGGTTTCTCTAAGGAACAAACCCTGTTCACATGCTGCAGCACTTCTGTGTTTAGTGAAACACTGAGTAATTGATTGAATCCCTTGGTTACTAAGTCAGGATATTTAAAGTGTATTTTCTCATCACTGGGGAGAAAAACCTATCCACTGGCATTTGGGATGTGGAGATGACTGCTACCACCAGAGTCACTGTTGTGGTCTGGCCTCCCCCCCCCCACCACATTAATTAAAAAGCACCTGATCTCCCTTAATCTCACTGGCAGCTTTCACTAGAAAGCTGAGAACATTTTTAGGTTTTAACAATCTCTTAAGGCAGCCAGAGCTGATGGTGCTGTACCACCTCTGGGCTGTTGGAGCAAGGTTAAGCCCATCTGGCTTTCTTGCCATCACTGTGGAAGGACTGGAGAGAGAGTAAAATCTGTATGAGTCTCTCTGGTGTCCTTGGGGTAGAGGGGGACCAAGCTTGAGGTGAAGCTCCAGGACTCCAAGATCCTGGTATTGCATCACTTCCATTGGAAAAAGAGCCAGGGAATCCGGCTCACATGAAAAAATCAGGTGTAAACAGCAGAACTACTTGTTAAAGAGTCTTCAAAGTCCTTC